TCTTTCTTCAAGCTCTTCCCTTTCACTTTTTTTCATTTCGTTTCTTCTTTGTCAGTGCATTTCATTCCATTATTATGCCTGTGTTTTCTCTTTCCTCTACTTCTCTTTCCCTCCCAGACAGTATCCTACTCTTTTCACATTTCTAACAATGGTAGTTCTATTTGCTTTTGGTTGGAAAACCAAAGCACATTGCCCTTAAGTAGTGCATTGGCCTTCTGACAGTATTGAATGTTTTAGGCCTGTTTGTTGACTTGTGGGTTTTCTGTCAACCAATTTCCTAATTCCTAAGTGCAAATGAATTTTGAATCTTAACTGAAAGGCTCTTGGTACCTGTTTGTCAGTTTTGCAAAAATAAAGTGCTTGAAGAAAGCTAAGTGCTTGGGGTAGGCAGTTGTGAGAAAAATAAAATAATATTTCCATTGTTACATAAAATGATGTACTTATTTTTCTAATATATTAAACTTAATCAAATTTTCCTCCTGCCTGCACACAAATACTGGAAAAGTCAATAAGCTAGAAAAGGATTTTTTGGTTTTGGCATGAAGCTACATACAGAAAGCATTCCCTTTTCTTTTAGAATTCCCTAATGCAGTAATGACAAACATAGTACTTCTTAAATTGGAATTTTAAAATTAGAGTTTAGCTTTCCCATGATTGGAATGTAAATGAGGACCAACTCTGCTCACTGCAATTTATTAGTTAAGTTGGGTTAACAGCAGTTAGTGAATAGCATATAATCATTTTATGCACCTGTGGGGTACAGCAATTAGAAACAGTTGTTAATATATTTTAATGCATAATTTATCACTCACTATTATTTTGTTTTATAAATGACCTTCAAAGAATGTGTCATAAACTCCCATTTTGCTGCATATGAAATATAACAATTTTGGGGTGCTTGGGTGGCTCAGTCAGTTAAGCATCTGCCTTCGGCTCAGGTCATGCTCTCAGGGTCCTGGGATCGAGCCCCATGTCTGGCTCCCTGCTCAGTGGAGATCCTGCTTCTCCCTCTCCCTCTGTTGCTCCCCCTGCTTGTGCGCACTCTCTCTCTGCGTCAGATAAATAAAAGTTTAAAAAAGAAGAAATGTAACAATTTTTTCACTTAAAATCTAGTGTAAATGGCTTGTTATGCAAGTGTGAATTTTTTTTTTCTAAACCTAACTTCAAAATAAATTCCAAAGTGGTTGGTATATCTAGTGGGAAAGAAACCTGATTACCCTGCATTTTGTTAATATATTAGGCATTTGAAACAGTGAGTGAACAAGTGAGTATTACAACTTTTCAGGTCATTTATTTAACAAATGTTTATTCAAAACTCACACTATACCATCACTGTGTTAGGTGTTAAGATGTAATGTTGAGTAAAACCAGACACTTGACCTTCACGGAATTTATAATCTGAGAAGACACATCAGATTGTAATCAGATTACGAGTAAAATGTATCCTAGGGTGCCTGGGTGGTTCAGTCGGTTAAGCGTCTGCTTTTGGCTCAGGTTATGAACCTGGGGTACTGGGATCGAGTCCTGCTTTCGGCTCCCTGCTCAGCAGGGAGTCTGTTTCTCCTTCTCCCTCTGCTGTGTGTGCGCAGTCTGTGTGTGTCTCTCTATGTCGAATAAAAAAATCTTAAAAAAGAAATATTCTGACTCAGTTGTGGATAACTGGTTGGAGAGGGGGAAGAATGGGTGTAGACAAACCAACTCACCCAAGAGAGCTAGGAGGTCAAGATTGGGGGGAAAGTGGTAAAATTTGGGATATAATTAGGAGATAAAATTAACACGACTTGGTAACAGATTCACTGTGAGGGATTTAGAAAAGAAAGCTACTTAAAATGAGCCCTAGGTTTATAATTGAACAAAAGGATTGTTCTTTTCCCTGAAATTTAAAACAAAAAAGGAATCCATTTGGGGGTGAAGAACGTGAGTTCAAGTATGCATTGTAGATTATTTTAAGCATGCTCAAAAGGAAATATCAAGTAGACATTGCACATTTAGGTCTGGAGCTAAAAGAGATTTTAGCTGAAGGCAGAAATTATTGAGTCATCTTATTTAGGTGGGAAATTACAATATACCCAGGTAAGCTCACTTAGGTCTAAAACGTATATTGTGAACAGAAGAGTTGGCTTAGGACTGCCCCTTGAACTTACGACTGGTTAGGGGTGGATGAGTCTTCAAAGAAGACCAAGGTAGAGTGACTAGAGAGGACAGAGGAAACCCTGGAGAGTATTATGTCCCGGAAAGCAATGAATAAGTGTTCCTAAAAGGAGAAAGTGGTCAACAGTGTCAAATGCTGCTGAGATTGCAAGTAAAGTGAAGTTGAAAAATTTCTGTTGGATTTGAGGGACTTCTAGAAATCATGGGTGTCTTTTGTAACAGCTTTTAGTGGACTAATAGGAATGGAAATCCAACTGGGATTATGTGGTATGCAGGAATGGAGTTAGGGAGTTTGAGCCTCTCTGAAAGCTTCACTCTGAGGCAGTTGTAGAGAGAGGGTTCTCCTAGTGATCTTCATAGTGAGAATGTTTTGTCTGTCTTATGTCTAGTGAAAATGAATCAAGCACAATTAAAAATCAATAGAAACAACCATGTAAGAGATTGACAATGCTAGAGTAAAGGGGTAATCTGTAGTAAGGGTTCTAAGGCAGAAAAGATGAGATCCAAAATACAACTAGAAGATGAATGTCAGATATTGTGTAGGAGAATTTGTTAATAGAGGACGGTAGGTGATGAAAGTAAATTTGTGGGCGCCTGGGTGGCTCAGTCGTTAAGCGTCTGCCTTCGGCTCAGGTCATGATCCCAGGGTCCTGGGATCGAGTCCCACATCGGGCTCCCTGCTCGGCAGGAAGCCTGCTTCTCCCTCTCCCACTCTCCCTGCGTGTGTTCCCTTTTTCGCTGTTCTCCTCTCTCTCTGTCAAATAAATAAATAAAATCTTTAAAAAAAAAAAAAAGAAAGTAAATTTGCATTCATGGTGGTAGAAAGATGATGGTTCCCCTCTGATGTTCATTTTCTCCATAAAATTGGAAAAGAGGAAGAAGAAGGTCAGATGTTTTAGAAAGCAGGCAAAGTTTTAAAATAGTCATTGTAGAAGGAATTGACCAAAAAAATATAATAGGCTTGCTAAGAGTGTAGGAGCCCATTTCATGTTAGTTATGATGAATTTAATATAGATAGAATGTCTCAAGTATTTCCCAGCTCTTGGGGGGACTATGATAACTCAGGATTAGGGGTGCCTGGGTGGCTCAGTTTGTTGGGTGGCCAATTCTTGGTTTCAGCTCAGGTCATGATCTCAGGATCCTGGGATTGAGTCCCTTGTCTCACTCCACGCTCAGCGCGTGGAGTCTGCTTGAGGATCCTCTCTCCCCATTTCCTTCTGCATTTTCCCCCTCTCTAAAATAAATAAATGAATCTTTGAAAAAAAAGAAAAGAAAAGAACTCAGGATGATGTTTTCATCCAGGATTAACTAGAGGGATAGTTAACAGGAAGGATAAAGTTTAAGATATTGACAAGTGTTGATCATGTACATAAACTGAATAAAAGGAGGAAAATTGAAAAGAACAGGACTAATCATTTGAGGGAAAGTATAGGGGTCAGTGAACTGTTGGTCTCAGTGAAGTCAAAGATGGTGGTGGTAGGTGGAGTTGAACAAGGAAATAGGCATTGTGATCTCAGTGTGTTAATGGTTATAAGGACTACAGTGTGACCTTGGACATGGGTGCTGAGACTGAAGAGGTCATGAAGAAAGGAAATCAATAAGTGAGGATATTATAATGGATAGGTTATATTACATAGACATCTATGTCACCCAGAATGCCGGGATAAGTTAGGACAGAGATAAATTATAAGCTGATTGCCACTATCTTCACTGAATAAGGGTGTGGAATATACAGAGGGTAAGAGACAGTGTTATAGCCAAATGCGGGAACCTCGAAGAAACAGGATGATGTTGATACTGCTATTTTGGCAAGGAGATTTTGAGGGATTTTATGTTCCAGGTAGTCCAGCAACACTCTAGAAAAAATTACTTAGGGATCACAAGGCCCCTGTCCTCTAGGAGTGCCCAGAGTATAGAAAAAGATGGTCACGTGAGCAGTTAGGGACAGTACAGTGAGATAGATGCTGCCTACAAAGTATAGTGGGAACGTGAAGGTTGGAGGGGTTATCTCCATTTGAAGAAGTCATTGGAAGACTTCTCAGGAAAGATATCTGACCTGAATTTTATATAGTTATTAAAGTGAAGAAGGGGAAGAAGGACATTATAGGAGGAAGGATAAAATATATATATGACAGGCAAAAATATAAACTCAAAATGATAGCAGCATCCCATTGTACTAAGTACTTTTATAACATGTGGTTCTTCATCATTAGAATATTTCCATTTCTTGGCCAGTCTTTCTGGTTTTTTTGTTCTTAGAGTTCAGCACTGTTGTCTAATGGGATGATTTAAAGCGTCTGTCAGTGTGCGTGCATGTACGCATGCACCCTTGTGTTTTTCACATTTCTTTTAAAGTTACACTTGAAATTTATCACCAGAAACGAATGCAGGGGTTGTTGTATAAATAAGTAAAATATTATCACTTTCACACATTTGCTTTTGGCAATATAAACACTCATTCAGTAAATTAAATTCCTGCCATTATGGGTAAAGCTCTGTTTTAAATCGCAAGGGTGCAGAGGTGAATATGATGCTCTCTGATCTCTGGGAACTCACCGTTTATTATGTTCCAAGCACAAAATACAAGTGCACTATTGAAATACGAATCACCGAGAATGCTATGACTTTCTAAAATATCATAGCTTGGTTCTCTTAAGTCCTCAGACACATTTTTAGAATGTTGATTTACTCCTTCACTGTTCATGAAAGAAGTTTGATTTCATCGAACTGTGAATATGGTTGAAAATTTGGTTAAAGTGACTAGACTTAATCTGTAATATTAAGACTCAAAGTATGTTTCTTCTCGAATTAAGGGAGAACCTTTCTAATTTCGATTTTATTCCTCAAAGGTTGTGAAGATGAGAAAAGAAGTGAAGAGAATCCGAGTGTTGGTTATCCGAAAACTTGTCCGGAGTGTTGGCAGACTGAAGTCAAAAAAGTTAGTCACTTGAAGTCATGGTCCTATGACTAATAAAATGTCAGAAGTTGTTTTTATTCAATATTTACAAAATTTGAGGGTGGTACCAGGAGGAATAATTAAGTATCTTACTCATACAACACTTTGTTTTATATGGAGAGAGGATCTGAGTGGGATACATTGTGCTATGTCAGTATGTCCTTACATGGTTTGGGCCACATTTTCTTAGGATACACAATGAATTCTGCTGTTTTTTCAGGGCTCTCCTTACTGGCCTTTTCAGAATGAAAGTCATTCGGAGTTATTTATGTGTTTTATGTTATTGGAAGTTATTTTAAGATGTTGGTGTAGTTTAATAAGTCTAGTAATAACTTTAATCAATTATGAAGATTTTATATCAGTTTATTCCTTGAATTGCTAAATAATTGGAAATCTTCATGACCTTGTGGAAGTGTTTATCAAAACATGTTCCATCTATTTTTTAATAATATTTTGTAATGTCCTTATCACTAGTATTTGAGTAAGCATGTTATAGTGTTTACACTTTCAGTATAAATATTTAGTCTTCACATGTATTTTGTTCCTGATTAATTTCTTGTTCTATCATAAATAACCTTTCTCTCTGATGTAATCAGTATTTCTCTTTATGTATTTCTTTAATTCCAGAGAACAAAATTTTATTTAATAAAATTATATCTGACCTTTAAATGTAGCTTATGAAGGTTATGTTACATTAAATGCAATGTGGCATTAAGCAGTTGATTATTCGGCCTTCCCATTAAGGAATTAGGTGGCCAGCTGTCTCTCAGTAGTAATAGTCATTAATATAATGCCAGATAATGCTCATATGTGCCAAAAACTTGGGTTTATTCATGGAATTGGTGTCTGTGTTGGGCAGTGGGGATGTTCTGGGCAGTGCATGATGACTTTTTTAACTTAAAAAAGTTAAAAAACTTTTTTAAAAAAAAAAAGTACACTTTATTTACACTTTATGTTTTTCTAAAAGAAATGAAGAGACTTTTCATTATGATTGGAGTCTAAAATACATGCTTTTCCTGGCTGTATATTTTCATGTATTTTTTACAGGGGTGCTGAAGATGCACTGTTAAAAAACCAGAGACGGGCACAACGCTTGCTTGAAGAAATTCATGCTATGAAGGTAAGGCCTTGTGTGGGTGTGTGTGTATATGTATGTGTGTGTGTATGTGTGTGTGTGTTTCCGTGTCTCCTCTCAGCCTGCTGTGTGTGTGGTGTTAGTTATTTGAATATTATTGCCAGTTCACTAAGACTTAATTTTATGGGTCTGTTTGGTGAAGAATGTAGCACATTTAGAAAATTGTAATATGTTTAAGCTTGCATTTTTTCCATGTTTTTTGCTGAATTTGTTAAAGTCCTAGAATAATTTACATAGAAGCTATGCCAAGCTAAACCCATCTATGTTTAATAATGCCTTACGCCTGAGATTTTTATTTTTACTCTAACTTCACACATAAAGTCTACATTAAGTTGGAGAATTGAAGCATCCATGCTGTTTGGTGACACGGACGGTGATATTGGTGGCTGACATCACGCTCTGCCTATTGCCAGCTCAATAAATTTTTGTGTGGTGGTGTCAGCGTTTTATTCAGCTCTGTAGTAACTTGAAATAAAATTAGTGCTGGACCAAGATGATCCATATTTTTGTTTCTTTCAGCCAGACTCTTCACTAGCATAATTTTTAGGTCTTCTCGCTGCTCTTACTTTGTGGAAACTTTCATTTACCAAATGACATACTATTAAATGTCTGGGAGACTGTTTTATTGCAGAACTTAAAAACAGCATTTGGTACCAGCAATTACCTTAATTGCAGGGTCATTTTGCATGTATGTTTAACTATTACATTTTGGTATAACTTCCAAGTTTTGAGATAGATAAAAGAGCCAGAGAATTCTCTAACAATATTTCAATTGAGTTAGATCATCAAAGCTTCTCACCATTTTTTCCGTTGGAAGGGATGATAAAGTTTTTTTTTTTTTTTTTTTTTAAAGATTTTATTTATTTATTTGTCAGAGAGACAGAACACAAGCAGGGGAAGAGGCAGGCAGAGGGAGAAGCAGGCTCCCCGCCGAGCAAGGAGCCTGATGTGGGACTCGATCCCAGGACCCTGGGATCATGACCTGAGCCGAAGGCAGATGCTCAACCGACTGAGCCACCCAGGCGTCCCATGATAAAGTGTTTTATAGGACAAAGTTATCACAGTTAATCTGAGTAGAAATGACATGGTGGGACACGATTCTTTGTGTGAGTTATGTTTTTTGTGGGGTATTTATTTGTTTTATGTTCACAGGTCTGCAGAATTCACAGAATCCATTCACTGTATCTTTTCTTTCTCAAAGTTTTAATCCCCCTTTTATCTAGTCATTCAGTCAAAATATTCTGTATGTGAATCCTTATTATTGTTTGTATCAGTATAGATCACACATGATGTAGGCTTTTTCATACCTTTTTTCCCATGAAATTCCTCCGAGAAATAAAATCTTTATAGAGATTTTTGTTTGGAGTGTAGCACTGAGATAGGAAATTTTTCTTTTTCACTTTCTCTTAACCAAGGTCCTTACTAAATTACATTCCTTACCTAAATTTTTCCCTATAATTTCTTCTGAATAGTCATTTTTGCAGTCCTAAATTATTCAGATGCTTTGAACTACTGGGTAACTGCTGATTTTATTTTACCCTGGAAAGGATATTTTGTATACAATAAGCCTATATGCAGTGTATGAAGAGTTTGAGATTAAAATATATTTGTTAATCTTCCTTTCTGTAGCTCTCAATAGTAAATTTAATTTAATTAGAAAGAAAAGTCCTTATTTGATCTGTATGTGAGAGTTGTTTTCTGTTATTCTTAATCCTTAGCAACAGGAAATCAGGCTGAATGATAATTAAAGTTTATAGGTTTACAAGATTGCAGTGTTGTGACCTTGTTTGTTTTCTTAGTTTACCATGATTATTTAAGAGTACTGTGGGATTGTTGCCTCATAGAAAGCTAAAATTCATAGCCTATATATTCCTTGCATTTGTAAATTTAATAGTATATATGTTCTTCCAGTTTTTGGTAGTAGTGGTCTAGATTGGATACTCTGACTTTCATAATGCTATTTAAAAACTGGATTACATTGAAATGTAAAAACCAGAATAAAAATTGTACTAGAAAGACGGTACGCTTTTCTTACATTTGAAATTTTTACACTCATGATTCTTTTACAAAATTAAGCTACTTTTCTAAAAGAAGCAAATGCAAAGAGGATTTTTTAAAATTGAAAGGTCATTTGTGATTTCTTAAGGAAGTGTTCATCATCTGGGAGTATCAAAGAAGTAGTTACAAAACAGAAAACTTACAGTCTCAAATAAATTTGGAGAAAAACCTCTACTTACTTGTTTTTCCAGATGATTTTTTTCTTTGGCTCATATACCACTACATTTTTATAGACTTGTTCATGACATATTGTCCTATACTTGCTTTCTATGATAATAGGGTATTTTGTTGCAAGCTGATTTCCTCAAGAAGAAAACCTGAGATATTTTTAGAAATGGGAGTTTGTGTTTTCTGGCCAAGAAAAAAAAATGCCCTGATCTTTATGATACTATAAAATCATAGGTTCTAATTTTATAGACTATAATGTATGAATACCAAGTCTTTGCTGCCTTTTCTAATAGTATTCATGCTTTTAACTTTGATGTTAGTATAAGTACTGTCTTCTGAAACAGTTCTTTTTTCTTTGGAAATTAAAGTAGCTAATCAACTTTTACAGATTCCTGTTAGTTAGCTAGAGGAGGAGATGGTAAAATTAAGACATACACTGAAGCCAGTCAAAATGTTCAAGAAATTCCTTCTTAAATAGTAAAGATAATGACTGGCTTTTACTATGCATTTACTATGTGCCAGGTAGTACATTGTGTGTTTTATATTCACTATCTTATGAAGTTGGTATCATTCTTGTCCCAATCTTACAGAATATGAAACTGAGTCTTAGAGAAGTCAAGCAGCTTGCCCAAGGTCAAATAGCTATTAGGTGGTGGGCTTTCCAATGGATTATGAAGTGAATGGAAGTAGCTACTTAATTGTGTTGCTTCGGTAAGACAAGAACTTCCTGAAATATATCTAGATTCTACTCTCCTAGAGATTGGATGAGAGAATATAATAATAAACATGATACGTGTCCTGTAGAGGACAAAGGCCTAAATATGCACAACATGTTTTCAGATTCTTTAATTCCTCACAGCAAAATATATTCAGTTACCCCTCTCTCTATTTTTTCTTACTTGTTCACCGTTGAGGCTGTTACTTTTCGGTATGTTAGGTATTCCTGTACACTGAGAATGTGTGGATTCTGTGAGACCTTGCTCTGCCTGCTACCTTACTTCTCTATTTTAAAACTTTCTGATTTTGTGTCCTCCTTCACTTCTTTTGATGTGCTTAGGTCTCCTACTCAAACCAACCTTTGAACTTGCATCAGCTGTTAGGATTGCCTGCTCCCACGCCCCTTCACAGCCTGTTTCTAAGTGGTTGGCATTAGTGGAGCACAAATAGGTAAAATGGTGTAGATTATGATGATATTTATATCCTGTCATTTGAATTTCACCCCAACTGTATAGGCAAATTCTTATTTCACAGGACATGTTTAGAAGAGTTCTGGGCTGCATATACCCACTGGATTATAGGTTTATCATCATATATTTTCATATATTAACATTTTGTGACATTTCTGGTTGTATTTGCTTTTAAAAAATTGCTTTTAAAAACTTGTTGAGAAATTTCTCTATAATTTCATATACTTTTGGTTGTTTTCTCCTATGAATGCCATAGAGTAAAAGATGCCTTATTTTTCCTGGAAGGCTACTGTGTTAATTAGCTGTATCAAATTAACATTTAGTTCACTTATCGTACTAAAGTAATAGTATTAAATAAGTTAGTCTTAGATAATATTTTTGACAGTTTCATCTTTTGCCTGTAAGCCAATCTAAAGAATTAAATCAGACACATATTAGAGATCTTACCTACAGTCCAGCTTAGGTATGCAGTCAAGGCATGTGAAGCAAGGAGAGAGATCTGGGACTCTGGGTGATTCCCCATGTCCTTCCTTTCTACATCAGACAGGCACTTTCTGGCCCAGAGTAAATGATTAGGTCTCTAAGTGAGGAAGTGTAGTTACTACCTCATAGCAAAGAACATTTAGATTTTGAAACTTCTCCACTCCATTTCCAGTGTTGGATAGCTTTAAGTGATTTTCTCCAGAGGTGCGTGCCTCATAAGTCCATAGATTTTTAGGTTTGTTTACTGTAAGCATCCTTACAAGGGACAGCCTCCTAAGCCTTTTTCAAGTAAGGACTTTCCTCCTAACAAAAACCATTAGTCTGTTTACCAGGAGGACCAGTTAACACCATATTATTAACAAGTACATTAAACTCCTTCATCTACTTTTCCTGGAGTTTCTTCCTGATAAAGAAAGTGATAGACATTGGGGAGGGTATGGTGAGCGTTGTGAATTGTGTAAGACTGTTGAATCAGACCTGTACCTCTGAAACAAATAATACATTATATGTTAAAAAAAAAAAAAAAAAGTAGGAGGGAAAAATGAAGGGGGGGGAGATAGGAGGGGGAGATGAACCATGAGAGACTATGGACTCTGAAAGACAAACTGAGGGTTCTAGAGGGTAGGGGGGTGGGAGGATTGGTTAGCCCGGTGATGGGTATTAAAGAGGGCACGTACTGAATGGAGCACTGGGTGTTATATGCAAACAATGAATCGTGGAACACTACATCAAAAACTAATGGTATAATGTATGGTGATTAACATAACATAATGAAATAAAAAAAAGAAAGAAAGTGAATGGATCCTTTTCTCTAGTGCATTCAAGAAATCAAGTAATAAATAATTTCTTGAAACCTTCAGGTTATCTTTAAAGATCCCCAGTAAAAACTCAGCATGGTATTTTTACCAGGAGGGAGACAAGTAATGCCCTTCTCCAGAAGAGTGGAGGGAGGCATCCAGGCACCCAGGAGAGTGGTGCCGTCTGTGTAACTATTGAATTTTTCTCCTTTATTTCTACTTGTCCCATCACATTTTCTCTTCTCTTTTCTCTCCCTGTTCGCTTTTCTCTACTGTAGTTACTGGTAATGTC